GGTAATAATAATGCTACATCCAAAATGACGTGCCTGAGCTTTAGATATTGAAGCTGCCGTGTCTGTATAGGAGCAAGGCCCCGTGTTTCGCAGTAGAACGGACGTGACTGTGCTCATGTTGGAGTCAGATTATTGGAACCCTGGGGAGATCGGTGTAGCAGCGTCTGGATTGGTGTTTCATCATCAAGTAGGACCAGGGACGGCTATAATAAAACCAAAAGTATAGTCTAAAAAACAATAAACAGTATTTTATTTTTGTTTTCTAATATACTTTTGGTTGTATTATTTTGGTTATAAATAAAAATAGTTTTTATTGAATTTGGACCTTATTGTTTTTATCTTTGAAGATTTTTACCTGTAGGATTTATACTTTAAATTTAAATGGTTTCCTAGGTGGAGATACCCCCTAAGCTATATAGGATTGAGCATTACTTTACTGTGCTCCCGTTTGTGAGTATACCTAGTTTTATTATTTTTATTAGCTGTACTGAAAGAAAATCTTCTATTTTTAGTTTAATTTTATACGCTGGTGAACTGTCACCGCGATAGAAGAGATTGAAAGAGACCACTTTTACGAATGCTGACCACCACACGCTGCTGACTGGCCTAAGGATACCTGTTCACATAAGATTGAGACCAAGACCAAGATCAGCATATCCACAGACTGCGATTATACCGTCCATGCACATATATTTGGAGCTGATTTCAAGCTCCAAAAGATTGTAAGTGCATTTCCTTTCTTTTATTTATAATCACTAGCATCAAAAATACTACACCACATTCTGTTTCATTTGTCTTGGTCTCTTGTTTTTCTTTTTTTTTTTGTAAATTCTTTATTTGTCGTTCAGGTAAGTACAAAATACATACATACACCACAACAGTGCACATGGGCTTAGGAATAAGATGAATAATATGAATAACGATACAAATAATGAGCATTAGTGTCTTTAGGTTACGTAACATTTGCAAGTGTCATAACAGCAATCATTAAGGTGTAGATAGGTTTATAGGTTTAACAGTTGTAGGTGAGTGCGCACTTCTGAAGCTAAAGCAAAAGCAATAATGACAGGCTAGATAGAAACGAGTGGCTACATTCCACCAAACTATAAAATTCTGCTTTAGATTTAAGCTTACTGGTCTGACGGAAAAGACGGGGTAGTAGTTTTATTACCAAAAATATGTGACACGTGGAGCAGAAGAGCAATTGCGTCAATGATTAGTGATAGTTGGCACATAGGCTATTAAGCTTAGTATAGGAAATTATTCGCTTAATTAATTCTATCGTAATGGAATCGATAATTCGGGTTCCAGTTTCTCACATGTTGCTGTTGAGAAAACGATTCCCCGAATCTTAGCGTTAGTCAGGGATCTCTTAGAGAAAGTGACCTCAAAGGAGGATTGTGTAAGAAACGTTAGCTTGACTGTTTCTGTGCGTTCGTATATCCCCCTGATGAGGTGTATGTTATGCCTGCGTCTAGTCGCCCCAGTCCGTCATGGGACAGATGTTTAGATCCTATTCTCACGGCAGTTAATTGTGTCTTGCTTTGAGAACTAGTTCTCTATGTGTCTGGCCTCGTTCCACTTCCCTCAGTCAGCTGTTATGTAAGTCGATGTCTCGTATCTATGGAAGTTGCTTCGTGTCGTGGCTATATATCGTGTAGCGACTCGCTCGGATCCTCCCGGCTCCAGCCTCTTCGGGGGCAGGTCAAGCCGCATCCGCTCGGAACCTCAAAAAAAGTTACGTGGAGTTGATTAGATGCAGTGGGGAAAAGGAAAGGAGGGGAGGTCAGGTGGTGGGGGGGGGGGGAGAAACGTGGAGGACAGCATGTGTCGGGGTGCGCCGAGCCCTCTCAAACCCCAGGTGTTATGGTGTGTGCTGTGTCTCCCTAGTTCCGGGACGTGAAAGGTATAGATACCATGGGGTCCAGATGTCGACGTGTTTGGTGCTTCTCCCTATTAGTTCTGCGTACTGCGCCTCGGCCGTGTGTATTTCCTCAACTCTCTGTAGCCACTCCGTGACGGTCGGTGGTTGGGTCTGTTTCCATTTGACTGGTATAGCTGCTTTCGCTGCGTTGAGCAGGTGCCTTAATATCGATCGCTTGTATTGGGCTATCGAGCCTTCCGTGTAATGCAGTAGGGCCATTTCTATGCTAAAGTCCAGCAGATCTCCCAGGATTATCGTCATTTCCCTTTGTATGTCCTCCCAATATGGCTTGATTAGCGCGCAGTCCCACCAGATGTGCCGTAGGGTGCCTGTTTGAGATTCACACCTCCAGCATGTATCCAAGGTTCCCCTGAAAATTCTGTGTAGTAAAGATGGGGTCCTGTACCATTGAGAGATTAGTTTAAAGTTGACCTCCTGATACCTGGTGCTTATGGAGCTCTTGTGCTGCAATATTAATATCTGTTCCCATTGTGCCTCAGTGTACGTCCTAGCTGTCAGCTCTTCCCACTGCCTCTTAAACACATTTTTTCGTGTGTGGTCTTCCATTATCAATTGTTGGTAGATGAGCGATACCCTACCATCCGCGCCTGTGTTGGTCACGCAGAGGTTTTCGAACCACGTCTGCTCTCTGTGAATCGCTACCCTGTTGGGGAGGTTGAAGTAGAAATGCCGCAGTTGTGTGTATCGAAATCTGTGCATCAGCGTCTGTTGTGTCGTCGTACTCCACTCTCGCAGGTTTCGCAGTCCGGTATTGCTCAGGACCTCGGACATCGGGATATAGTCTCCGTCTTCCTCAATCGGCCAAGCAGATCGGTGTAGCCCCCCGCCTATCGCAGTATTGTGTGTTATCGGAATCAATGGGCTCGGTTGTGGGGAGAGGTGTTGGTTCCGTCTCAAGGATGACCATGTCTTCAGCGTTTGTACAATGGGTGATAAATTGCCTAGTTTTGATGCTGCGTCTGCTGAGCCGTGCCATGTATACATGTAAAGGGCTTTGTTTGTGCTCTCTCTATCCAGTGCAGCCCACAATTTGTTTTCGGACGCTACGTGCCAATCCCTAATCCGTTGTAAGACCGCGGCCTGGAAGTATTTGCGTATATCGGGTAACGCTAGTCCGCCCCAGTTCTTGGGTAGGCATAGCTTGTCGTAGCTGAGTCTTGCTCTCCCTCCTTTCCAAACATATTTTATTACTGCCGATTTAAGAGTTGCGAAAAATTCTGATGGTATGTGCCAGGGAATGGTGTTAAAATAGTAAAGCAGCCGTGGTAGGATATTCATTTTAATCACCGCTATGCGTCCTTGTTAGGATATGTGGTCATAGTTCCAGTTTTTTAGGTCGACTAGTATTGTGCGTAGGAGGGGTATGTAGTTCCTGGTATATAGCTCTTTCGGGTTGCTGGGTATCCAAATTCCCAGGTATCGCATCTGTTCTGAGCACCAGTGAAAGGGATATTCGCGTGTGATCCGCTCTCGCACTGCTGTTGGGGTCTGTATGTTCAGCAGTTCGCATTTAGTTTGATTAAGCTTCAGACCCGATACCCAGCCATAGGTGTCAAATTCCTGCATCAGGATCGGCATGGAGTCAACAGGGTTGTCCACGAAAAAGAGCATATCATCTGCATATGCGGCTACCTTCTGCTCCTGATTCCCGTGTCCTAATCTCTGGGGTTTGCCTTATCCTGTCCAGAAACGGTTCCAATGAAAGGGCAAATAGGAGCGGCGACAATGGGCAGCCCTGTCGGGTTCCGTTGTGGATGGGAAAGTTGTCTGTGAGCGCACCATTCACCCTCACTCTGGCACT